CAATATGCACGTTATAAACTCTCAAAAAGTTAAATAGCTCGTCTTCATTATCTTTAAGAGATCGAGCATTCCAATTTACAATATTTAATGCTTTAAAATCCATTACTGAATTTTAAAGTCATGACAATATTATTTGCAAATTTTACTCCAGTTTGAATAGCATCAAACATGGAGTTAGATTTAAGCATATCAGAAATCATGTCAATGAATGATTTCTGTAAAAAATCCATTTTAGGGGCAGTAACGCTTCCTAAGTCAAAATTGTCAAAATTTCCGTTAGAATTACTTTGGTTAGTATTTTGATTTCTACCCGCTGCAATAGCAGCATAGGTAGCTCCATTAACTCGCTGAACATTGTTAACAGCAGAGGAATTTGTACCTGGTCGGAAACGTGGAGCGTTTCTTACCTGTCGGTTAGAACGAGATTGTAAGATCGCTTTGCGAGTCTTACATTCCCAAAAATTGGATTTGTGGTTTTCACCACAATTTGAACATTTAAATTTCTTAGGATCTTCCTTCACAGGACAGTCGTCCTTTGCGTGAGAGGAATCACCACAATTCATGCTGGCATGTAGCAATTTTTAGTTCCGTGGCCCCAACCCTGGCACTTGCGGCACTGAGTGAGGTTTTGGAAATTTCCTCCAGTCTTCCTGAAGTGTTCCCACTTCACTTGGACATGGAGCATAAGGCTAGCTTTTTCTAAGGCCTTAAGGTTGTTTAGTTCACTAGACTTGAAGTGAACTAAATAAAAATCATTAGAAATCCCGTTGCGCGAATCGCCAGGACGGGATTTCATTTTCATTTTGATTACTTGGAGTGGCACAACTCCAAGTAATTTTGCCAGTTCATCTTTGATCTGATCCAGGGATTCACCACTGGGCAGTCCTTTCATGACAACCTTGAACACACGTTCAGTTTTGGTGTCGTAAGTAAAAAAATTGTGCTTCTTCTCAGTAAGATACTTGAGAAGACATTTAAATCCGTCCAAGGTTTCAGCCAATACACGGCATTCACCCCGACGTCCAATTTGTAGAGAAAACTTAACTTTCACAAAGTTCAAAAGTTCCATGCAAAGAGCATGGAAATCGGAAGTGGTTATCACAATAGGGGGAATCTTTTCCTTCTTGGCATTAAGCCGGGAAAGTTTACTAGAATTTTTCTTGGATGATGGATCATTCTCATCATCCGTGAGCAAATCAAATTGATTACTCAAATTAATTTCTTCAGAAGGGGGGTCAAGAGTTTGCCCCTTTCTTTTGCGTTTAGGCGCCATGGCGGCAGTAAATTTTTATCCAAATCGACTTCCAAGCAGATTACTATAAGAATCTGAAGGATCGAAGAGGAATTTTCCAAATCGATATCCAAGAAGGATTACCTCGGGTAGGGTCCAAACAAGGATCGAAGAGGAATAAAGCTGAACAAGGTAGAAATTTTTACAGGTTGAGCACTGAAAAGTGCTGTTTAAATTTGTTGTAGCTTTAGGTAGTAGTAACACTTCCTTCAGCAAAAAACAAATAGATCCGCACGGCAAGAGAGCACGATGCGGACTGACGAGAAGTGCCGTAATTTATAGCGAATTCGTTTATTATTCAGTTCCAACCTGGATCGGGTATCAAGATTGGGTCTGCTTGTTTTCTGACAAACGTCAGTTTGCTCGTTTGTTTTTAAAACCTAGCTCAGGTTGAGGTTCGCACTGACAAAAAGTTCGGTTTCGCACTGGGTTGGAACTGGTTCCAACCCCGATAATAAACGAATTCGCTATTAGTTTGTGCTTTGTGTTTCCAAAAAGTCAAATCGCCGAGGAAAATACGCGACAAATGAAAGTAAACAATTGTTCGACAGTTTTTGCCGTTATATAATGATTCAGATCAAATGTATCCGAAAGTTTTATGCGCAAGGTGTTATATGGCTGTTTATCGACGATTAGAAGGTAATTCAAAATATACATTCCAATGTAAAAGATCGCCTTCTTCTTATTCTTCACATTTCAAGCTTATTGCATATCGCATATTAGCTTATTGCGTGCTCTTAACTTAGTGTTCAAGATGCACTTCCACAGTTATTAATTGAGAGCTTTCGATGCCTGTACCATTTTTGTATTGGTATAATCGTGTGGCAAGTCCAATCATACATCTATGCCCAGGGTATGCTGGATGCGAATGCTGCTAGAATGGAAGCAAGCTATCGGATATCGGAGGAGAAAACCTTATTCATCAAGTTTAATCGTTTCAGTTCTTTTTTCTATGGCATATTTTATTGTACTTTTAACGATTCTTGTTAGAATTTAGCTATAATAGTTCAAAAACAGAGAAATCTCCGAATAAAAATGTTTTGGTATGATGTAGGACATCCAAATAATTCTGAAGTTTAGACCTTCATCGTTAAAAGATCAACAGAGACGCTAAAGAGATGTTCTGCATGTATATGTTAAAAATATCCTCGCAAATCCCAAACACCATATGAAATCAAGATCAGTAAATACGTGGCGCAATAAGATCTTCATTCTAAAATTGTGATAACAAAATATCTAAGATTCCCCAAATAATCCAGGAGTTCAAATCTTGATGTTCTACAGACTTAAAGAGATATTGTACGATGTCCTGGCTAAATTTTTGGCATCCGTAGAGCCCTGTTGTAGGATATATAGTTGAAATGACAAAATTTTGGTTTATGTTTATTTGTGTTCTGTTCTTCAACATTGCGAAAAGATATTGCTTTTTTGACATAACATGTTAAAAATATTATCATATCCAGATTTATCATGAAATTATCCTTAGGGTGAAAGGGGCCGTTGATAATTTTCAAAAATTCAAAACCAGAATTAAGTTTATGAAAATGTGTTCATTGTATTCAATTTGCCTACCGGAACACAGATTTTTTTCTTTATTAGCGAGATTAACACAATGGCTAGTTCATCTCGTAACCGGAACACAGAGAACACATTTTCATTGACGAAAACTTTTGGTTTACGTCGAAAAAACTGTTTTTGAATTTCCAAAAATGAATGACGTCCCCTTTCCCCTTAAACTTAACGGTAAATTCCCTAGCTACTCTTCTCGTAATTACCATGGAATTTGATTGAAATTCCCTAGAAATTTTCCTTAGAATAACCTTGGAATCCTTATTAAATTTCCTGTTTCAAAAATAAAATTCCTTTGAAATTAATCTCATTTTTTAAAACTAAAATTGCTCCACCGAAATTCTTTGGTTTATAATCAGAAATCCTTTGAAATTTACTTTTGAATTTTCCTGAAACATTCCTAAGAATTTAATTTGATTAGTGCACTATTTGTGGGCCTCCCTTAGCTCAGTCGGTAAAGGTGCAGCTTCAAAGCAAGACCATGCTGGAGGTGGCTCGGTTCAATTCCCGGTCCGGCCTAGGAATTTTTCGGGTTGGAAAATTTCTCGACTTCCCTGGGCATAGAAGTATTATTGGACTTGCCACACAATTATACCAATGCAAAAATGGTACAGACATCGAAAGCTCTCAATTAATAACTGTGGAAGTGCATCTAGAACACTAAGTTGAGAGCAGGCAATAAGGTTGAAATGCGAAGAAGAAGCGCACTATTTTTTGGAACAATCATTAGAATTCCGTTGCAGAACTTTTCTGGATCTTCTTCAGTATTCGTTTGAAATTATCTACAGTGCACCATTTTAGTTATGTTTATAAATCTCTTTGAATTATATTTATAATTCATTTGATATCCTCCTCACGATTCAAATGCAAGTCTCTTCAGAATAACATAGGAAATCAGATAAGAACTTCCTTTCGTCTTCCCCTTGGAATTCACCTCAGAATTTCTTAGAACTATATCTTAAAATTTTCTTGGAATTATGGACACAGCCCCTTTAAATTTTCTCCATGGATTTTTCAGGAATTGTCCACAGCGTTTTCTTTGAATTTACACTTTAAATCTGTTAAAATTTACCCAACGTTTCAAAGGTATTCTCAGCAGCTAGATCCCTGAAAGCTCTTTGAAGTTTCAAAGCCTAGAATCTGGGATCTTGAACATTTGAAATATTCTCTCAGGCCCAGATTGATTTGTTCTCAAATAGTCTAAGACTCTAAACATATTTCGTCTCTTGTTGAATATGAACAACATAGAAATTTTTGAGGTTTGCACCGGGAAAACCAGGGAATTTTAAAATGAAAATTTACTGGCCACACTGAGTATTTTTTAAAAGTAGACCTGCTTTTTGTAAATCACAGGCCTTTGATGTTTCGGGTAGCATTTCTCTATTATGAAATGCACAACTTTACCCAAAAAAACCATCTTCCTAGGATGTTCAATTTAAACAGAAACCGTCAAAAGTTGGTCCTTTGTTGATCTTTGTAAATCGGCAGGAAATATGCCCTAGGAATTTTGGACATGCTACCAACCTAACTGTCCCAATGTTTTTCTGTAATCGGACAGTATGTGTGAGAGTTTTTATTTTTCTTTTCATGTTATTAAATTGTATGATTTATTGCTCCTTATTTCCAAAGCTTTAGTGTTCGATACAAATACAAAACTAACCAAAGATTAATTTTTTTTAGAAGCATATTATTGCGAAGGATATGATGGATGTCTTTGAGCAGAGGACCCCTACCAGTGCTGAACATTGTCATTGTCATTGAAAGTCTTGTTGCTCAAGTCATTTAATGTCGTTACAAATTTAGTTAATAAAACGTACGTCACTGACATCATTGTCATTGACCACTGACATAGTTTGCCTTGACTATGACTGTTAGCTCAAGTGAGTAACCAAAGCAGAATTGTCAATATCACCGTGTATTGTCAAGATTTTGCAGCACTGGCCCCTACCGTTAATACGGCACTGAACCCAATTCATAACTTCCACTAGAACACAGTATATATTTATGCATCATTACCTAATACATTAATCAGATAAATACACCAAAGCCGAGTCAACAGAATGCTGTGTATGGTTTCTAAACGCTTCCCGTATTCAAACATAGATCAAACATTCTCAATCAACATTATATCTCCTTTCAGAAGAAAAAAAAAACCATGAGCAGCCGCACAACCACACGAAAACGATGAAAAGCCAAAATTCAACGACACCAACAATCAGAAAACACGTGATCAATACTGCCATTAGGATATGGTAAGACCTCTTCTTTGGCTGCACTTAACACATCGTTATACATTCAAACTTTCCCCAGGATCCACCAACACAAAGTCCCCCTACGCTTCCGCAAGATTTCCCCGAGCCAACGGCAACCGATGCGTACATTATCCCGACGCTCGGTCTCCACGAGGGAACCTTCGTATTCTCCTACCTTTCGACGTTCCTTTCGTACATCACCCCGTACGATCTGCCAGTAGGTAAGCGGTCCCGTCGTCTGTCCTCCACGGGCAGCGGCCACGTCCTCACAGGTTTCCAAAAAATCGATTAAAGTCTATTGTATTTTAGAGCTTTTGAGAGATGCGTTCCACACGCGAGTTTCCTTTCTGCAGCTGATCATGGAGGTAGGGTTTCTAGAGTGGTAGATCGTGATTCTTTTTCGGCAACAGTTTTTTTTCTCGACTTACAGGCTTTGAAAGTCGAATCCGGATACATCTGCCTCATAGCGATATTCTTTCTGATTTCCTTGATCCCACTGTGCTACACGATCGCGTGGGGATGCTCGAAATCCGTGGACGAAGACATCAATGCGGGACCGACGGTTGATGCGATCATACAAGCCGAAGAGCTATCGTTGGAAGAGTCTCTGCAGTGTCGGAGGAGTTTCCTAGGGTTGATGTTGCAGGTTATAATTCTGTTGCTGATGTAAGCATTGGTTTGGGGAGGTTGTTGGAGTGAAGATTAATCGTTATTGGATTTTTCAGAGCAAGTGTGATCGCTATGTTTGTAACAAACGAGCAGATTGCATCTGCAATCGACCAGACGCCGATGGTGGTGAGGTCATCACTGGCCGATGCGGAGACGTTTCTCAAGGATACGGAACAACAGATTTCGTTTGTGCTGCTTGAAGGTCTTGCGACGACCGTGGATAGGATACGGAGTGATCTGAACGAACTGGATAAGCTGTTAGGGGAACCGATACAGAATCACTTGTCGTTGTTCACCGGGATCGAGATCATCTTTGAGTCGATCATGGAAATCAGCACGAGTAAGTTTTGATTATCCGATGCAAGCTGTTTCTAACAGAAGAATGTTTACAGGTAGCAACAATCTGTCCAGGCGGATTTTCCTGCTTCAGGAAACTCTAGCTAGGGCTGCGAAAATTTCATATGAAGCTGAATATCGGCTAGATGAGTTGCAGATCCAGTTATCTGTGCTGCAGCGTCAGTGTACATATCGGGATCGACCGCTTTGCGATACGCTGAAGATCAAGAACTTCGAAGAATCCGGATTGATTGACAAGATACGGAAACTGCAAAACGATCCCGTATTGGCCAAGCTGATGTCCATGGGTGAAGCCGGTAAGAACAGTACGATGAAGATGCTGACGCAGGAGTTGACGTTGGCGCGATCGATCTTCCGGAACTATAAGACGGAGTTGAAGAATACGACGGCTCCTTCCAAGGAGAACATCGAGAACTATTTGGAAGATTTGGGTAATGCGACGCTCCTGTCGACGAATACGTTTTCGAACACTTTGAATAATTTGGTCATGGAAGTGACAAAGACGGCGAACTTTTCCGACTCATTCTTCGATTACTACCGGGAAGTGGGAGCTATCCAGTGGTTAACAGGATTGACAGCGACCGTCAGCACATTGTTGGTCACATTCATACTGCTAGGAGCATTGAGCTGCGGATGTTGTCATGCTGATAACAAGGCTGGAATCACGCTGGTAGTTGGGTCGATCGTGATCTGCATGGCAAGTATGGCTTTGTCTGGGTTTGCCATGGTTGAAATGCTTCTGGGTGCACATGGGCAAGTCTTCATCTGTCATCCACTGTACGATGAACCGAACTACACCGTTCTCGGTAAACTGATTGACAAACCTGGATTGATCTACCCGGTTGAACCACAAAATGGAATAATTGACGCACTGCTGAAGTCTGCAGACCCGAACCGGACATTCTCTGTCAACGTGCCACTGGCAGCAGCTATCAACGAATGCAAACGTAACAAAGGAACATTTTCGACCTTCCAGTTGGAAGGACTACTCAATGTCTCGTCGATCATGGACTACCACAGCTATCCACATCTGGATCATGCGATTGCAGAGCTGGCTGCAACGGAGATTCCTTTCATCGGGTTCACGAAGCAGATACAAGCGATCCTGGAGGACATGTTGACCGACTCGGATATCAATCTGACTGCTTTCCGTATGGATTTGACTCAGATCTCACCGGATAAGGATGTTATCACGTTCATTGATCAGCTGCAGCGAGTTTCCGCTCAGATTCAGGATGTGGCAACGTCCTCTCGGATGACGACGCTTGGAAGTAGGGCTAAGCGGTTGCAGGTGTCACTTTTGGCACCGCTGGAGCAACTCCGCGGTGACATTGTGTACCATTTGACGGCGCTGGAGTTTCAGCTTTCCCCATGGGCGACGCAGGTCAACAAAAGCTTGATCCACCTGCGCAACGCTCAATCGTACTTGGACGCTGAAGCGGCGGAGATTTGTCACAATAAGAGTGAGCAGTTTCGAAGAAGGTTAAAGGGACATTTTGATGCTTATCGGAATCATACGAATGTCATTCTGAGTGACAAGTGCGCAAGCTGTAGGCCGTTGTTCGAGGTGTTTGACGCTATGAGGATGCTTTTCTGTCATCACATAATGGATCCGATGAATGGATTGTGGTTTTCGTCGTTCCTGTGTCTGTTCCTGTGGGCGATTGCAACTCCCGTTTCGTTGATGATGTCAACCACGTACCGGAGGCTGGAGATGGTTTCGGGAAAGCTGCAGCATTCTAATAGCAACTACTATGGGTAAGTTTTGTGATCTGGTTTTCCTGAAGTTGATCTGCAATTCGTATTGTTTCAGCAATTCCAGTTCAACTCGTTCCGAGCGGCAAGGACATCATCACCACCACCAGCAGCATTATACACAGCAGCAGGATACATCTAGTCATTGGTCTACCCAAAGGTAATTTACCCATTGAAATATGGCACTTCACAGTCTCATTGCCACGCACTGAACTAATTCAAAATTCTAACCTCTCTCCCCATGTGCACTCCAAATTGGCAATCTGACGCTTCCACATTTAGACCGCATATGGCTTCCTCAGCCGGTACCTCAGTCAACGTGCTTCCGGACATTGATAGGTCCAATTGGTAACCCACAGAATTTGTCAAAAAAGCAAAGAGCTATTCCCAGCCTCATTCCATTTCCACTCGATCGGCGGCGCCACCAACTGTGTCCCTTCTTGTTCTTCTTGTTGTTGTTCTTCCCTCTGGCCAAATGCGGATCATCAGATCTGTGTCGGTGCACATTGCCGCTGCCAAGGAGAGCTGCACCGACGACGAGATTATTGCGGACGACGAGGATGCCCATCGGGACGGCGAGGTCGTCATCGAGTACATAGAGCTGCAGATGGACGACGACGATCCAACCCAGTTTCGAGAGTGTTTGATTTGAATTTTCTACTGACATGGTTTATGCGTGCTTCATAATGGTTATATTTAATAAAAACGAGAATGATGATGTAAGTTTAAGTAGGGTTTCGTTTCATTTAGAGAGTGCTACCGGGAGCGATAAGAACTAATTGGCATTGCACAGAGATGCGGGATGACACTTTCACTTTCCGCAGCATACGTTGCTGATAGGTTTTATAAGTTGATGGTTGAATCGCTACGCGATCAGTTCGCTATTGTCTTTCTGCGGAAGATGCGGTTTTTAATAACGGTAGCAGTTGTGGTTCAGTTGTCGTTACTCTCAACATTGGTAGCGAGTGAAGTCAGTCAGAAAGATTTGCAGTTACACCCAAGTACTCCTCGAAGAGGTCGGTTCCTAGGATTGCTAGGGCTTCTAACAGGACTATCTCTGGTGGATTCCTTCGACGACAATGAACCTCGATTCAGACCTCCTGCAGGGATAGTGAAGATCAACATTGGAAGACCGGAATCGTACTACCAGTATGCGTACAATCCATACTATTACGGAGCAGTTCCGACGATCAATATAAAAATCCCTATCCGGCCAGATGGTGGGCATGATGGATTTGATGGAGCGGCGTTTGGTGGAAGTTTTGGGCAACCTGGACAATTTGGATCGCACGTTACTACCAATTTGATTGAGCCAAGACCGACGTTTGCTGATCCAGTGGCGGTGAGTTTTGTCTTTTTCCAAACTATTTTATGTTCCTGACAAATTTTTATCCTCTTTCTCCAGGAATCATCGTCAGCTGAATCGACCGAAGAAACGCCAAAGAAATCCAGGATAATAAAGAAATCAAAACGATCCAAGATTCCTTCTACCCGCATCATCCGAAGCACTTTGCGAAGCGATACGACCGATGATCAAATGGCTGAAGATGAAAATCAATTGGAAACATCTACCCTTGAATTGAGTGACCCCACCGAAACCAACCCATCAACCACGGAAGAACCTCTGATGCTTCACGGCACTGCCATCCCCATAATTGAAGACAACTCAATCACCTCCCAACGTCCATCGCAACCCATAGAATTGGCGGATTTCCCTCAACCTATTTCACAGTCCTACTTTCAACACTCAGGAAGCCTCCAAGACCCATCCGAGATCAGTCTTACAACGGTCGAACCTTTCGACCCATCGTCGTTCAGAGCGAGCCTGCCCGATCACTTGCAAAACTATCACGTCACTCATCCCGATGAATTTCGACCCATCGTTAGTGTATAATGTTCCCTCTATTCGACGCAGTAGATACAGTAAAATTGTGTCAAAGTGGCATAAATTTTGAATACACGAAAATGAAGTAAAACACCTCACACCTTCGGTTTTGCTTTGTTTACACCGCAAAAGACACGACGGGGGACAATGTCGCTCTGGTCTGATGGTCCGGACTATGTACCTATGTGTAGCACAGGTGATTATCAGTAATTTCTCACCTCAAATGAGGCTCTTCGGATCGCACCAGATGGTCGGTAGGTAGGTACGGAGTTTACAAACAGGCAGACGACGGCCGTCGCCGTCCACCGACACCGTACATGTCTGACCTGCATGATTTGCGATTCTTCGAACGACAAGACCCCTCCGCAGTCTGTCAGTCAGTTAGTCGCAGTCGGGTCACAATTAAACTACATTACGTAATTTCGGGTAGAGAAATTTACTGCATTTGAGAACCTGACTGCTGGATTGATTGGGGTTGATGGCTGGCTTGTCCGTGCGTTAAAAGTTATGATTGTGATGCGTGTGTTGTTCTGTCAGTGCAAGAAGATTCCATCTAATAGCACGTGTCGCTCGTTTTATGAACATTCTCACACTGATGGATGCTGTGATGATTCAGCAGAATACTGTATTTAAGATACTTTTGGGAAGGATTTTTATTGTGGTTCATCGGCAGATAATGATTATCATAAATCAGTAGCGATGACAAGTGCCCCTTTGGATTTATTAGTAGAATACATTTTCAGAATCTAAAAATCAGCAAAAAGATATTTCTGCATTTAGGGAAGAGCCAAGGGGTAGGTCACTCTGCACACCAATCTTGGGTTATCTTTTTTGTCAGTGTGCCGCAGGTGTACACGGTAATAAAAAAATACCCAAAAAAATAGGTTTAAAGTACTCAAAATTGAGTATATTGCTTAAAGTGTTCCGTTGGGTAAAAGTTGAACTGACAGGTAAATACTTTTTACTCATAGGTTGAGTAAATATTACAATACCTAGCGTTGAGTAAAAAAAAACTTGTAATTATGCCCTTATCATAATCATGGTGATACCAAAATATTGAAAAAAAAAAATACATAAGTCTAGATTCTCTTCGACATTCTCTAAAACACTCGCTTTTCGAGAATATAGGTGCTTCGCATTAATTGCATATTATAATATGTCTTATCGATCTTTATTTTATATTTCCCAAAATAAGCAAGTCCAAAACTACCCAACGCTAAGTTTATCAAGTATAGTTAACGTTGCGTAAAATATACTTAAAATTGGATGAAAATTTCCTCCAGTGTTATTGCAAACTACGGCGCCATAATTGTTTCGATCTTTGACAAGGCAAGTTGGTTTCTGTATATTTTTCAGTTTTAAGGATTATTTTAAACACAAAATTCGTGGACAACTCCTGTCTCGTCTCCTGATATTTTTGATTGATTGATTTTGTAAGTATAATATTATTATAACAGCATTGGTTGATTTTTAATTCTATATTAAACTTCTCTCTGCAACAGTGGATTCCGATTTTGTTTGCTGTGTTTTTTTCTAGATTTGGCTGAGCTTCCGGCAGGCTTAGCAGTGGTTGTGTGATAGCCGTTCGAGCTTACAGCAGGATCAGTGCTGTTTTGTAATTGGATCACCAGATTTTCTTGATTTGGCCGAGTGTCCGGCAGATTTGGTGAAGCTTCCTGCCAGCTACAATACGACCGTTCCGGTCAATACCGGTATTGTTCCTTGCCGTTGAGAGTATTTTGTAAGTATGACGTTATTTTAACATCATTGCTTTATCTTTAATTTAACATTAAACTTCTCTCTAGCAGTGGTAGCCGGATTGCGCTTTCACCTCGCTTGAGGTGGTTTTTTCGGTTTTGGCTGAGCTTCCGGCAGGCGTAGAGTGGTTGTGCGACAGCCGTTCCAGTTGTTAACCACTTCCCTGGTTAACGTTGGCGGTGGATTTCCTGGATTTAACTGAGCCTCCGGTAGCTTTGGCTAAGCTTCCGTTCGGCTACAGTACAATAATCGTTCCGGGTTAGTGTTGTAAGAATGATGTTATTTTAACAACATTGGTTGATTTTTAATTCTATGTTAATTTTAGGTTTCTCTCTGCAGCAGCAGTTCCATTTTCATTTCGCTTGTCGCAGATTTTCCGGATTTGGCAGAGCTTCCAGCAGATTTGGTTAAGCATCCGGCTGGCAACATAACAATAGCCATTCCAGTTGACAACTGTAGTTGGATTACACTTCCACTTCACGGTGGATTTTCCGGACTTGGCTTAACCTCTGACAGATAACATTGCAACCGTTCCAGTTGACAGTATTTTGTAAGTATGATGTTATTTTAACAACAACGATTGTTTTTTAATTATATAATCAACTTCTCTCAGTAGCAGTTGTAGAAGGATTTCGCTTTCACTTTACTTACGGTGATTTTTCCGGATTTGACTGAGCTCCTGGCAGGCGTTGCAGTGGAAGCAGCCAGTTGACAACAGTACCCGGTAATTTTTACGCTTCCTCTTCCCTTGCGGCGGATTTTCTGAATTTGGCTGAGCCCCTTGCTGATTTGGCTAAACCTCCGACCGTTCTAGTTGGCAGTATCTTGTAAGTATGATGTTATTTTAATAACATTGATTGATTTTAGGTTATATATTAAATTTCTCTCTGCAGCATTGGTAGAAGGATTGCGCAAAGCGCATTTCACTTGCGGTGGTTTTTCGGTTTGTCTGAGCTTCCGATTGGCGTACAGTCCAATCAAACGTCAAACGGTTTCGAATTGATGATATCACGGAATGGAACGGCTGCAAAAAAAATTGGACGGCGGTTCCTATGAAAAGCTCACTGGTAAGTGTGATATGTTTTTATTTAAAATCAACTATTAAGATGTTTGTTTTACTACATACTCACGTATTTTCAAGGCCTTGATTCAAAAAAGATCTCATACAGCCCTAATAAACTGTTATGGTTATTTTGCTTAACTACGTGTTTCGGGTATCATCTCAACCATTTGTAGAATGGTTCAACCATTTGGCATATCATTCGTTTATGGTAGTTTTTATTAGGGAGAGTATTAAAATACATCAGCTCAAAACAAATTTCACTATTTGTGCTTCAGTGATCTCCCGGCTTTGTAAACCATCTATTTACTATTTACTCTCATTTGTCTTAAATTTAACCTAAATTTGTTTCTACCTCAATCAGGATTGACCCTTCGCCTATAATTTGTTACTTTTACAATTTGAAGGATTATTTAAAATGAAATAACATGAATGAATGAATGAATGAATGACTTCTTTATTACAGTCCTACTTCTTTTGGCACAACGGAGGTTTGGGCAAAGGACCTCACACAGGCCTGATCGAAACGAGGGTAAGCAACATACGGAAGGACTTACTGCCCGAAGATAGGCTGTTTCGGCGAACTAAGAAGGACATCATTATTGTGGAGGACGAATGCGTTCGACATGCTGCACATCTTGCTGCACTTATTCCTACAGCAGCAAATGCTAGACAAATAGCGGAAGGAATGGCACAAACGAATGATTTACTAAAATTACTCCTACAGAAAAATAACATCCAAGACATTATTGAAACATTTCCTCACTTGCTTTCCTATGAGGGAGAGATGGTAAGTAGGTCTTTATTGGGTATCATAAACTAATTTTTATTAACAGTGTTTTTTTTACAGATCATACAGGCATTCGATCGAATCCAGGCAAATATTTATGTAGCTGGTGATTTGAAAACACTACTTCGCGTAGGACTGCTCTTCGACACTACTAGCTGGAATATGGTAGAAGATGGTAAGAAAGCTAATTATTATATCGCACGTTAAAATTATATATTTCTATTTTTCCTTATTCAGATTTTGTCAGAGGAGCTTTGAGGCTGATGAAAAAGCTGTCAAATAAAGGCATCAAGCGAACCATAATTATGGAAAATGCTAGCATGGAGGAAATTACCGCTGCACCGTTGATTAGATGGACTAAATACACGCAAACAGACATTGGATTTGATGAGAAGCTTGCGGTGAAACAATCATCCGCAACAGTTGTTGGACCACTTATCATCTGCGTAGCTGATCGATACAAACAAGGCAATATGTACGTTGTCTTCAATCAAAACGTCATTCCTTGTGGCGATTCAAGCACACGGGCTATCGAGATTTTGTTCAAATCGTTTGCTGTGCTTGGCTTGAAAGTACCAATGTTGCTCCGGAAACTCAATGACATGATATCGGTAAATGTCTGGGGAACGAAACATTACAGTAAATGTAAATCCGTCACAGAGCTAACTGTGCGATACAAGGAATTTTTGAATAATTCAACAGTCGAATGAAATGTGAAAAATTTTGTATATTGATTTGGTCAATAAAAATTGATTTTCAGTGGTCAATTAAAACTTTTATAAACTGTATTTTTATTTGTTTGATGATTGAAACAGCTTCTTTTTCCGTTAGGTTCTTCTTCATTGTCTGAAGAAATTATTACAGATTTATATATATCGTAAATTCAATGAAAACGTCACCTATTGATCTTTTTTACCACCTATATTTGCTGGCTTTATTTGGCTGGATCTTCTCCGAATCTCTTTTACCTACCGGTAAGTTAATTTTACGCAACGGTGGCTTTTTTGGGACTGCATCAATTTACCTAGCAGGAAGTTTCGCCAATTTACCCAAAATTAGGTATATCTACTTTTACCCAAATTTACCTTATTGAACGATAGTACAAGGTTGAGTCAAAAGAAGCCAATTTTGGGTAGTTTTTCATTTCCGTGTACCGATTTTGCCGGTCATAGAGCATGCTGCGACTGTTTGTAAAATACTCATCCCGGCAACCCAGTATTTCTGATACCTTGAATGTTTTGGTTTGAAATCGCAAGGATAAATCGGATTGAGGATGACGCGGGAAGTCGTGGGTGTACGAAATGTTGGTGTTTTATGTTCATAGCATCATACAAATCCTGTGTTTTAGGGTTTTAAAATGCCCTCAAAGGCAGACCAGAAACCTCGACTATCGTGCTGTGAAAAGCAACGCTTTATCAGCGGCCGGAAAGAGATGGAACCGGTGGGGAATATTGTTGGTTCCGACTATAGAGGATGATGAATAGACTTATGTAATTTGTTTTGTGTGAGTTGCATCATTATTTGAATTAATGGGGTCTATCTCTTGAGCCCACTCTAAAATCGTAGTCTGAGTTTCTCTGGTATACCTATGGTAGAGGATGGTCCTGAATATACAGTCAAGCAGCACACTCAAAGATAAATTAAATCAAAAAAGCTTAAAAAGTATGCAGATTCCCGCTTCATCTTATTGAGTCTGAGCCATGATTACTTCGGCAGTAGTCATGCAGGATTAAATTCGAAATAATCTTTCCAGTATTAAATTTTATTCTTTTTGAATATTAATAGATAATCAAAATTGATTAAAATTCAATAAAAATATTAAAATAGAATCAAAAATGATTAAAATTTATTATAAAAACATAATTTTCAATCTAATCAACCATGATCAAACCTAAGATTAAACTGGGTTTAATATCAGATGATTATTTTTTGGAAAGAGAGTATTAATTTTCAATCATTTGATATGATTAAACTGAGTTTAATGTCAAATTTATTAAATTTCAAGCTAAAATAAATAGCTTAATTTATCAGTGCACGTAATGTTGTGAACAACTTCAATGACAGTTATCCAGCAGTGCTCCCATTTTATTTACAACAATCCGATGCCTATGAGATTGTGCCGATGGATCTGCCCATCTGGATCTGAGTGACTTGCCCCTTGGGAAGAGCATTAAGAAAATTTCTAAAATGTGGGCCTGGGTTTGAATTTCCATGCGATACGTTCCGACTTATGGCAGATTTTGGTCAGGGAGCACTCGGAACATGTCCAGAACAAAAGGCTAAATGAGGATTTTTTTCCTAGAGCCTGACCCGTTCATTTTAGCCATAAACTGTCTTCAGAATATTTGTTTGTGTGAGCATCCTCCACAATTTTAACGCAACAAAAATTAGTCATAGGGTATATGTCTCTAACCTCGGATGTTCTAATTTATTTTTCTCTACTTGAGGAGCACGAGTGATTTTTTTTGAGGATATCAAGACTTTGACTCTACAACTAGAAGTCAAGCAAATAGAGATCTGAAGTTTGTGAAGTGTTAATCTGAACAATGAAGTCTGAGCAGTGATACTCAAATTCGATGGATCTGCTGTGATTTTTGTGTGGATACGAATCGTCGCACTATAAGGTTAAAGGTTTCCTCCTGTCCGTCAATAAATCGACACCTCCTTCCCCGACACCAACCGCTTCGACTTCTCATTCGAACTTCCAAGGTCCTACGTCATCCCATGTGCGTCTACCGGATATTAAACTGCCTGTCTTTAGTGGGAATTTGGATTATTGGATGAATTTTCACGACCTGTACATGTCCTTGGTTCACTTTTCCCTCTCTGGCGACGCCCTCAAACTTGTACAGACGATACCTGCGGCGAACTACTCCGTGGCCTGGAATATGCTTGAGAAGCATTTCCAGAACAAACCCCGATTGAAGCAGTCGTACCTCAACGCTTTGTTCGAGTTTTCCTCCCTCAAACGTGAGTCAGCGGCAGACTTACACGGGGGATTCTGGGATCTTATTCTCTTTCGTATGCTCAGCGTTCGTCTCGATGCCGCAACTCGTCACGATTGGGAGGATTTTTCATCAGCAAAGGACGATGGCTCGTTCAAGGACCTCACTAGCTTCATTCAGAGGAGAGTATCCGTCCTCCAAACGCTTCATGGAAAAGGCGTAGAAACTCCGCCGTCGTCATCGTCGTACAGTCAGCCGAAGAAGTTCACCCAACGCACACTGGGGACAAAATCGAAACAATGTGTTAAAATTCAATAACTTCGGTGCTCGCTGGAACAAGAGACTAAAAAATAGTCATTCTTATAGAAAAAAGTCTCAGGAATCGATTGGAGTACGTTTCATCTTGGGCACGATAGGGTAAGTTGGGGTTTTTCACAGTTTTGCCCTAAAATCTCCTATTTTGCATGATTTGAATGCTGTATCTCAAGATACCGATGATATAGACGGATGATTTCTTCAGCAAAGTTAATTAGAAGATCAAGGACTGTTGGATGATGGACAGAAAAATTCGGAATTCCTCCGCTAGGTGGCGCTAGAGAGCATTTGAAGTGTATATGTTTGTGCTGCTGTATCTCAGGATCCTGACTATTTAGACGGATGATTTCTTGGGCAAAGTTGATCAGGAGGTCAAGGACTGTTGAATGATGGACAGAACAATTCGGAATTCTTCCACTAGGTGGCGCTAGTGATTATTGAAGGTGAATATATTTGTGCTACTGTATCTCAAAATCCTAACTATTTAGACGGATGATTTATTCGGCAAAGTTGATCAGGAGGTCAAGGATTGTTGGATGATGGACAGAACAATTCGGAATTCCTCCACTAGGTGGCGCTAGTGATTATTGAAAGTGAATATATTTGTGCTGCTGTATCTCAAGATCCTGACTTTTTAGACGGATGATTTCTTCGGCAAAGTTGATCAGGAGGTCAAGGATTGTTGGATGATGGACAGAACAATTCGGAATTCCTCCACTAGGTGGCGCTAGTGATTATTGAAAGTGAATATATTTGTGCTGCTGTATCTCAAGATCCTGACTTTTTAGACGGATGATTTCTTCGGCAAAGTTGATCAGGAGGTCAAGGATTGTTGGATGATGGACAGAACAATTCGGAATTCCTCCACTAGGTGGCGCTAGTGATTATTGAAAGTGAATATATTTGTGCTGCTGTATCTCAAGATCCTAACTATTTAGACGGATGATTTATTCGGCAAAGTTGATCAGGAGGTCAAGGATTGTTGGATGATGGACAGAACAATTCGGAATTCCTCCACTAGGTGGTGCTAGTGATTATTGAAATTGAATATATTTGTGCTGCTGTATCTCAATATCCTAACTATTTAGACGGATGATTTCTTCAGTTATGGTTGATCATGTGCCACATCAAATGACGTGAGAATTTTCAAATAAGATCATTGGTAGTCATATTGAGTGTTAATAGGGTCAGACCATAGGTGAATAAATTGGGATTTTTCCTATACATATAAGCAAGTTTGGTCTCTTAATATCCATTAAAATATAAACTACAGTAATGACCTAATTTTATCAGTCCCTTCACGCATTATTCTTTTAATGTTCAGTAATTTCCTATATCCATAATTCGAAATCTTTTCCATTAATCTTCTTGATCGATGTTTAGGATAAACTTTGGTGCAATAAAACCCTTGAAATAGCGCATGGGTTTCGTAGAATATTGGAAAATATTTTTAAAACGGGGGCTGATAAAATCGGGTCATTATTGTATATATTATATCTTTACAAAAAATTCCACCGGCTGGAGCGGGAATCGAACCCTCACTCCATGGCACACGCAAAATAGCTGTTAGACGGGTGACGCCGCTAACCACTCAACCACGAAGACCACTTTGACCCGAAAATGTGAAATGTCGTCATGGAAACCCAATCGAAAAGAATTATTTGTTTACTCTTGTTTCTTGCGTGGCAGAAGCTCAGTGTAGTGCAATTCTTACGTGGTGTTAAGAGTGTTCTACTGAATTTCATTAAGCAAAATGCTGTCAAATAAAAATATCGTTGAGGAATATTTTGCGTCTGGTCGAGATAAAAACCTTTTACTTGACTTTGTGTCTAGGGCACTGTCGAAAGCACCTGCGGATGTTGCGCAAGGTGTTAAAAACTGGATTGGTCAATTTAATCGGCGATGGTCAAAAACCCACAGTAAGGATCGGTTCTTTAAGAAGAATGCAGGATGGCTTGAAAGCATATTCGAGGTAAGAATCTCTGGGCGTGCTTAATTTTAGAAAGCAGCATAAATTAACGAAGGAATGTTTTTAATACGATACCGTCGAACATTAAAAAAATTAACAGTTCGGAAAAATTGTACCTGTTGAGCGAAGTGCTAAATTTTAAAAAAAAAACAACGGATTCCAAACCAATTTAAATTGAACTTGAATGAAAATTAGTAAAAGCGTGGAAATGCGATAATGTAAAGCAAGACATACTACTGATGAAATCTGTTTTTGTTCTTGTTACTAAATAATCAATAGCATCAACCGCGATAAGAAGAAGATTTGTCTTTGATATTTGTATGAATATTTTAGAAAAATCCTAAACAAAAACTACAGACTCTAAATTTTACGAAAAAATGCTTGACTATAATTCATAATCAATTATTTTATCAGGTTGAAGACCAACCCTCAGGATCCAGGCCTTCGAAAAAAACGCGGGTCCATTCAAAGAAACCCAAAGATCCCTCGTCACAATCTTCTCCTATTTCACCTCCTTTTGCCACTCCGAATTTGGATACCAGTTCCAACAGTCAGCGAACACCGTCAACCCTAAAGCCTCGAGGTCGAAAGCGCAAGGAGTTTAGCCAGTTGACAAGATTTTCGAAATACAGACGCAGTATCGGACTTTTCAAAGAACAAGGTCTTGATAACTTGCTGTATTCAGCCAAAATTGCTGCCATAAAGGCTGCTAATCCAGCAACTGCTCAAATCTTACAGCACTTGTTGAGCGGCGGTGAGGTTTGGGCAAAAGAGACCATCGAATCCGTTGACTCTGTTCGTGGAACATCTCTGTGTTCGGAGGAGTCATCTTTGGCAATAAAATCAAAACTTGGGTAAAGTAAAACCAAATATGGAGAGCTGGCTCGATTCACTAAGAAGCATCTAG